ATGCCCTGACTCTCGCTTTTTTCCTCGTCCTTCTGTTCTCCACGGCCACACTGTTTCACAGTCTAATTACAGGTCAATTAAGGGCTTTCTCCAGCCTTCTGCCGCTCCGGCCCAGGAGGCTTAGAGGCCCGCAAGAGTGGGAGTGAAAGAGATATCATTTCATGTGGAGATCAGGCGAGAGCCCCTTTCAAAAAAGGGATTGAGGAGGAATCCTGAAAGAGAGAAAGCCACCCCACACCTCCCAAATAAGGAGACTACTGGGACAGGGGCCAAAGGATTATGGGAATATTCACGACCAGATAAAGAGAGAAGACCTATGAATGGATGTGTCCAAAAGCTCATCTCTTAGGTAAACAGGGGTCTAAATGGAGTTTGGACCCTGTTCTCGGACTCACAGAAGCAGGGGAAGGAGCAGTTCTCTCTCATGTGTCACATTTCCGAGGCGCTGAAAAGACCGTCTTGTTTTGGCCTTTTTTTAGCCGTCATTCTGCGTTCCTCCATGTGGAACAAACAGATGGCGACCAGAAATACACACACACCTTTTCACACACTTTAAGCCCATATACACAAGTTCACATCATCCTCAGCTGTCCATTCTTCTTTAAAACGTTATTGGCTGTAAACGTACACGTTTTCAATTTGACCGTTTCCATGGACTTGCGGTTGGCCCATGCAGCATAGTAGCTTCCATCACGTCCTTCTTCATTCATACCATGTCTAGAAGTTTTCAGTCTCTGTTTGTGTATTATAAAGTCTTTTTTGATTAATAAAAATGGTACAACCATTACTATGCTGGTTTCAAAACAAAGCAAGCCAGAAATTTCATTAATAAATTAACAAAAATATATCCAACAGTATAAATACTAGGGATGCACAATACAGCGGGTAAAATAAGTATCAAATACGTCATAATTTTTCTCAGTAAATATATTTCTAAAGGTGCTGTTGACTTGAAATTTTCACCAGATGTCGGTAACAACCCAAGTAATCCATACATACAAAGAAAACAAAACAAATAAGTTCAGAAATTAAGTTATATGGAATGACACAGGGAAAAAAAGTATTGAACACATGAAGAAAGGGAGGTGGAAAAAGGCATGGAAAGCCAAGACACCAGCTCGAATCTATCAGTAGCTAGAAAGCAATCCTGCCCCTAGTCGGTGGGAATTAATATTAGCTGGTTCAGTCCCAACACCTACAGTACCAGGATGATGAAGATGAAACAAGGGTGGACATTTCAGCAAGACAATGATCCCAAACACAGCCAAGAAAACTCTCAATTGGTTTCAGAAAAAGAAAATAAAGCTGCTAGAATGGCCTAGCCAATCAACTGACTTGAATCCAATAGAAAATAAGAACTAAAGATCAGAGTTCATAGAAGAGGCCCATGGAACCTTCAAGATTTGAAGACTCTGTAGAAGAATGGGCCAAAATCATACCTGAGCAATGCATGCGACTAGTTTCTCCATACAGGAGGCGTCTTGAAGCTGTCATTACCATCAAAGGCTTTTGTACTAAGTATTAAATAAATTTCAGTAGTTCAATACTTTTTTCCCTGTCATTCCATTGTATTACACATAACTTAATTTCTGAACCTATTTGTTTTGTTTTCTTTGTATGTATGGATTACTTGGGTTTAGGGATGCACCGATACCACTTTTTCCAGTACTCGCCCGATACCGATACTTTTATTTTTGGTACTTGCCGATACCGAGTACCGATACCAATATTTTTATTGAATTTGTACATTTTTAAAATATTAGGTACAGAAACCAAAAGAGTATGTATAATGTTAGTTGGTTAACTTTATCAAATAGATACAGTCAAACCTAAATTTATTTAGACACCTTCAACATTTCTCCCATTATCACAGTTTATTCGCTATAGTTTAGAAAATGGTAATAAAATATAACAAGAACTCAGAGTTAAACGGAGTCAGAACAAATTCAGCTTGATAATGTTAGATAACTTTGATAGAAAGGTATGTAATGGATTACAATCAGCCAAAAATTAGACAGCTGTTAGTATAACAGTATTTACACAACTATCAATACTTAGTCGGGCAGCCCTTAGCCTCAATGACAGCCTGTAGTCTCCTGGGCATGCTGTCATCCAGCTTCATGCAAACCTCAACTTCAAATCCACTCAGCGTGCTTTGTTTATCAGCTCGCGCACATCAGCTATACAGGCGTTAATACTGAATGTTTAACATTATATTCATTGCATACATATACTTCGTAGACATCCTTAATCTCTAATAACTCCATTCTGCTGTCTGTTGTTCTGTTGTCGGTGTTTCATTGTCTGAATATGGCACTTAACACATGCTGTGTGGTATCGGCGTTTGGTATTGGTGCATTTTAACGAGTACGAGTACAGGAGCTCAGTATCGGGCCCGATACCGATACCAGTATTGGTATTGGTGCATACCTACTTGGGTAGTTACCGACATTTGGTGAAAATTTCATGTCAACAGCACCTTTAGAAATATATTTACTGGGAAAAATAGTGACGTGTTCAATACTTATTTTACCCGCCGTATATGGGGCCTATGTTTTATGTTGTTTAATCAATCGCAGATATTTGATATTTATGTTCTGATATTCTGATATTATTTATTTATTTATTTAACTTTTTTCTTTAAGTATAAAATATTTAAGTATTACATATAAATGTATCATTTTTATTTATAATATAATAATTTATAATGTTTATAATAGAGATGTATAATTTATAATTCCTTTATAAAATTTACATAATTAATTAATATTATATTATATTCAGCCAAAACATGTTATCACTTATCAGTTAATTGGTAAATATCAGTGAATCTTTAATAAATGCATGCATCACTGACATAGAGTTAGATCAAGTATCCCCAAATTGTTCAGATGGAATGAATTTTATGAATCTTTTCCTGCTGCTATCATTCATTTTTCAAAAAAGACCACAGGTGGCTTGAGTTTCATCTCCACACCTGCCGTGTCATAAGGCCCTCTCCAAAACCTAATGCCTGTTATATTCGCTAACATTCACCATTACTCTTTATGTCCCTAGGCACAAAAAAAGATATTCAAAGTCTAAGCCACGAGATTGCGTATGTGTGTGTGTGTGTGTGTGCAGAAGGTGTTGAAGGGTCATGTTTCCAGGTTTCAGGATATTTGTGAAAGTTGGTGTGTTTGTACGTGTGAGCACGTGTGTGGGTCATGGTATTGTATTTCAGACCTTAGAGATGTCAGATGTCCACAAAGGCCCTCTTATTTCTTTCATCCTACACCTCTGAGGAGAATTGGGAATCCCCACACCACACATACACCTAAAACGGCTGCACGAGCCTCAGATGACAGTATTTAGTTACAGCCACAAACTTGTAGACCAGTGTCCACTTGAAAAGCCCAGTTAAACTGTTGTCATATGAGACTTTAGATTGTTTGTTCTCACACTATTAGGCCACAAATGGTCTTGCGTGCATACATAACATGCATAATAGCTCTGTTCCAAAACCTACTGAGCTGCCTTGCTGCCAACTGGTCAATGAAACTCACAAGTGACCGATTTGGAAATCACTTCAGGTTCTCAACTAGACTCTCAGTTGAATCCAATGCAACATTATTTAAAAATTATTTTGCACTACTTTTACTTTTTTTTGTTTTTTTTATTAATTTTTATATTTATAATGTCTCTTTCATCATCAGCCATCTTGGATTTGAATTTATTTCATTTTATTTTATTTTTATTTTTTTTTTGTGGATGGATCTCACCAAACCACCATATCTGGTGTTTCCTGTCTCATTATTTTTTTATTTAATTGAATATTTTAATTTAAAACATGTCAAATATATATATATATATAAAAAAAAAAGTATTTAAAAAAAGATTAAAGGCAAAACAACCAATAAATTATTATTATTATTATTATTTTTAATTATTATTATTATTTTTCTTTTTGTTCATTTTTGGAATAATTTGTGACCTGGACCTCATTGTGGGATTCACCCATGCAAGAACATAAATTGTAAATAGAGAATGAAACTGAATTTCAGATTTGACACCTTTTCATTACCTTTGCCGCACTCTTTCACATAGTTAAAAGTTGTCACCCATTCCCACTCCTCCTCCATGACTCCCTGAAGGGGACAGGCTTTGAAGTAGCATGTGGAGGTGAGGAGGTGCAATAGAACACCACCTCTTCATCATCTGCTCCTCAACCGCATGCACCTTTGAGTGCTGAAATGTCAGTGGCCACCATCTGCTGTTTGAGTGTCAGAGAATGTACCCACAGTGGCACTTCACATGACCTGATACTTTATCTGCAGGAAAACCTAGAAATATCTGTATGCATTTGAGTCCACTTGAAAGTGCGTCTTTGCAATGATGTGGCCAGGTTAGGGGTTTTCCCAGGAGAAGCTTGAACTTGAGAAGACTAGTGAATTCAGTCAAGTTCAGCGCAGGGAAGATGAAATGGTAATTCTGTGCCATTGAAATGGCAGCATTATTAGTATATGATTTACTCACATTTGCATTTCTCTTTACAGAAAAAGTACGTGAAATTCAGGAGAAACTTGAAGCTTTCATTGAAGCTCTTCACAAAGAGAAATAGAGCAGTAGGTGGTTTTTATTTCTACTGCATGGTTAAAGAGAGAATTTGATAGAAGTAGTTAATGATTCAATGTATCATTGATGAATTATTAATATTTAAATAATTATTATTAATACTATTTGATGATATTATTTAATAATTTTTATAAATATATAATTTTTATATTTTTGTAATAACTCTATTTGAAAATATTATGAAATTAGGGCTGCCAAAGTAACACATTAACTAGAAAAAAATGCGAAAACAACTAAGAAATTCATCAATGGATAGCCCTATATATACAGTCCAACCAAAAATTATTCAGACACCAGATATAATTTTTTATTTTTTTTACTAGTGGGTGCAGGACACTATTGTTCATTTATGTAAGTGAGGATAGCAAAATAAAGTAAACTGTGACATAGTCTAATTGTGTACTTAAATTTAACAACTGACAGCTGTTCAACCTAATTAATTTGTGAGACAGTCTAACAGAAGGATGGCATTATCAAGATTAATTTTATATAAAATGCTTTTTGATGGTTTTAATGATTTGAGAAATAATTCTTAATCTTTTGTCTTCTTTCAGGATCATTTTGTTTCTGGACAGTCATGCCCTTACAGAAGAAAATGCACTGATTAAATACAACATTTTTGCTCTTTGCCCTTTGTAAATTAACTTTCTTCCCAGCTTCTCGTCTTCTCTGTTTTTAATGTATCCTGCTTTAGTTTTCAGTCTTCTCACACACATGCACACTCGCACTCTTCCCCCTTAAAAACAGTGAAAGTAAACAAAGTGAGCTGGAGTCCCTTTACGTTTGCTGCATATTTAATCACTGTTGGAGAACAAGCACTTACTCAACTAGAGAATGGTACATGTCAGTGCCATGCTTTATTCTTTCTTTCTCCAGCGCTTAAAAGCCACCAATGTGTTCACCAGACAAGTTCTAAGTGAAACCAGTCAGACAGACATGCACCTACATCTTCTCCCAATCCCTCATTCCCAATAAAATGCTTTGTCCGGGTCTCTCTTTCCCCTGAATTTCTTTATTAGTTAAGGTGATGTTTATGGTGAAGCCAAATAGTAAAATGCACATTGGCCTTGCTATACATCGAGAAAATATTCAAAAATGTCTTATCACCAATTGCCGCCTTCATTCATGTTTTGGAGCTGTGATTTCACAAGATTTATACAACATCTCTCTTATGACATATTCACATTTAGTGAAGTCACAGTTACAATTATACCAGTAGACCACCATATAAATCCTTTGTAATTATTTTGTAGAATCTGCTATCAATATATGCAGTTGTTTGTACAGTAGATCTCATCTGCTCCTCATTTGCTTGTAGGCATCCTTAGCTTAGTTTAATATATTCAAGAAACGGCTATGAGGCTTGGTCCTGAAGATGCAGAACATTTCTTTATAAGGAGACCAGATCACACATCTGCTCACACAGGTGGATAAAAATGCATTGGCATTTCCTGTTTGTTCCTTTGGCCCTACACACCATTTCCTCTCACTTTGTTTTGCTTTACTTTGAGAGATTCAAATGGTTCTGATTTTCATCAGTCATCTTCAGCTTTAGTGCACTTTTAATTATTTGCTTGCACAGTTTCTATTTCGTGCCCTAGAACTTTTGTGGTCTCACTGGGTTTTATATAAAATCCACATTAATGTCCTGATAATTTTGAGTGTAAGGGACATCACACCTTTGTTCCTGGTTGCTCATAAATGTAAATGGGTAAATATACATGTACTTGTAAAGTATCTCTAGAGTAAGTTCATTGAAATCATGGATCTGTTGTCACAACGGGAAAATATCCAAGTGTGGTGCTTGTAACAGAATATCTGTCAGTTGATTTAGGAATGTTTCCTCCTTTTTGTTGTAGATTGTAATGTTTGCATGTTGTACCCCATCAGATGTGGTTTATTTATTAAATTGGTGTTAAAAAAGGAGTAATAAAAGTGACTTTAAATGTATGTTAAACAGAGTGGGTGGGTGTGGACAATATCCAACATGTGTGTGAATTTCTAATGTTGAGAATTGTGCTTGCTGTTAATTTAACGACTGCTGTTAAACTTTTTGACAGGTACAGTGCATGTTTTCTCAGTTGGTTTTACACTGGTTTAATTATAAAGCATTTGTTGCACTTGATGATTGGAAAACGTATTGAAAGAGTCGGTTTGAACCTGGCCTCATCAATATGTAGTTTTTATGCATGAATACACCAGGCTAACCAGAATAAACACCAAATTTCTCACTCATCCCAATGTTGTAATTAAGAAAAAGACTATTAAAATCTCCAGCTCCAAAGGCATTAGTTCTCAACAGGTGGGTTTCCCAACCAGGAATTTCAGAATTAAAAGTAGAACATGGTGCTAGCTATGCTAATGGTGTGAATTTGATTCCCAGGGAATGCATGAACTGATCAAATGTATACCTTGAATGCAACGCAAATCACTTTGGATATACCAAATGCATCAATGTTAAATAGAATGTAAATTAATTTAAAAAAAATGTTTCAATTCTACCTATGACATAATGTTAATAGTTTTAATAATGAGATCTATGCACACCAGCTGCCTATGTACTCTTCCGATATATTTAGGTATTCTCCGATATTCTCCCATAGCAAACTATGGGAGATTATATATATCTCCCACAGTTTTATAAGTGTGTTCAAAAACGGATAACTCCGTTTTCAACAATTTTCAAAAAATCATGTTTTTTCATTGTTCATGGCAATTAATCTCAATCAAACATGCAGTTGGGTTATTTTAAGTAAAAATAACTAAAAAATACAGCTAACTAACACAATAAAACACAAAAACATAATAAAAAACATGATTTTTGAAAATTAAAAATCGGAGTTATCTGTTTTTGCAAATAAACTCTTAAAGGGGTCATATGATGCAATTTCAAGTGTTCCTTTCTCTTTGGAGTGTTACAAGCTGTTTGTGAATAGATAAGATCCCTAAAGTTGCAAAGACTAAAGTCTCAAACCCAAAGAGATATTCTTTATAAAAGTTAAGACTCATCGACGCCCTCCTAAAACGCCTCGTTTAAACACGCCCCCAACATGTCTATGTCACTGTGTGGGAAGATTTGCATAACACTGCCCAAGTGTTTACGCAAAGAAAGTGCGTAAACTGTAGTGCTGTAGTATTGTTGCCGCCGCCGCCATGACGTGGAGACGCTGTGTGTTTCGTTGTGAAAGCGAAACTACTTAGTTTGGCCTTCCAAAAGAGGACACGACTAGAAATCAGTGGCTAAGTTGTATTTACAACACTGTTCCAGAACAGTTCAACCCCAAATATTCAGATGTGTGCAGCGCATTTTACGGAGAACTGTTTTCTGAACCTGGGAGAGTAGCCTACAATGCGTCTGTTCTGACTCACAGCCTGTAAGTAAGTTTTCATATTTAAAGAAATTGCCACTGACGATTCAAACGCGAAGTTTGAGCAGTGTAGCATAGCACTTGTTGTTTGACGTTTCTCCGATCACAAATGCAGACATAGTTTTATGTTTATGTGGCGCAATACGCAACGCAACGCAACGCGTAAAAAGACGGTATAAGTCATTATAATCAGTAATTATGTCCCCACTGGATGCAAC